TAGTATTAGCTATCTTTTAGTTCATAAATAATTAGGTAGTGTCCACAATAGCTGAGATTGATAAAATATATTATTAAAAGATTTATCAAAAATAGTAATCGTTCAAATTAATAATTTCAACGGTATTAATAAGATTTTAAAAAATATACAAATATAATCTTTTTATTCAGTTGTTTTTCATAATATTTATCATTGATACTAAAATTAACAGACGTCTGATAATTTTTATGATTTTAATTTAGCAAATAAATTATTATAATAAAAAAAATAAAATTGCATTCATGATTTTTTTGAAATTTCTACATTTACTATTTTTAGAAAATATCGGCTTGGAAACTCAAAAAAAAAAATCCGGAAATCGATTGACCACGCAGCAGGCCAACCCTAGAACTTCACGTTAAGTTTGAATTTGAAGCGTCTTAAAATGCGTTTTTTGATTAATATTTGAGCTTTTCAAGCTCTTTGAGCTCAAAATGTATTTATTAATCAACTTTTGAATGCGTCGTTCCATTTTCATTTTTAAAAAAGTATTCGACGCAGTTTTTAAAGCAGAAAAAAATATATATGTTTATATTGATTGGTTGAGAAATCTCGAAGATATTTTTAAAAAATAGCAAAAAACAAAATTTTGTGAATTTTTAACCAACTATAACTTTTGAATGCGTCGTTCGATTTTCATTTTCGAAAATGCATTCAATGCAGTTTTTTAAACACAAAAAGTGTATACATGGTTTTATTGTGATTTATCCGCACGCTTTAAAGTTATTTTTTAAAAAAGCATAAAAATTAAAATTTTTTTTTTAATTTCTTCGGAATGGCTCGATTGATTAACTCTCAAATCTAATCAGATCTAAGTTTTGATAAGCCCTTTCAAATAACGTGTCGTAGAATTCAATCGGTTGATTCGGTTTTTGAGAAACCGTACGACAAAAATTTATTTACAAAACTCGACTTTCGAAAATCGGACTGAAATCAATAACTTTCCTCTAGTGAAAAATTTTTTATTTTTTTAGCGGGAAGTTAAAAAAACGTAATTGTTTAGTTCCACTGTTATCTAGTTTTTTAATATCAATAATTAAATAAAGTATTTTTTAGTAATCTGTAATGTTCTGAAAATTTAGGTTTTTCCAGTTGAACGTTTTTTAAATTTTAAACTCCAGAGGCTGGCCTCGTTAGACAATCGATAGATCTCAGGACCTATTACTAACTCTCTCTCTTTTTTTAAAAGGATTTTAACGGCATTTTGGTTTGAATGCCGGTTAATATAATGTAAAAAATTAAATTTGGGAGTCAGTCAGTCTCCGGATATAGTCTGGGGCCTAAGGTGTTTGTCGGCTGACTACCTGCTCTGCATCTCCAGATTCAGTACAATAGAATTTATAATACAATAATTAAAAGTGCGAACGTTGCATCTAAGGTTAGCATCTAGCTAGATAAGTTGTCGGAGCCCTGATCTCACGAATTTAGACTCGAGTTCGACTACTCTCTTATAAAAAAGATTCTTAGAACTTTGCTGACTATGAACTACATAGTAGCAATAATTTAAAAATATTGAAATTACATTTTTAATTTAACCTTTCATTTTTTTAATATTTCCAAAATTGGCCGGAACCTCACAAATTATTTTTTTTACTATTCATCAAGAAGAAAATTTGAAAAATGTTAATTTTTTGTTAAAAAATAATTTTTTCTTAATTTTCTGTTTTTGCACGTATAGTAAAGACAAAAAACTAGAGATAGCTGGTAACTTATATCATATTTTATTAGCGATTTCGTTGGATATAAAATATTTGCTAACATTTGACAGCGTGTATTACAAATATTCATGATTATTATTGTAAGTCCGTCATGAAATGAAATAATTAGAGAATTAATGTTTAAAAATTATAATTTTTTTGAATTTTTATGCCAAGAAAACATATTTACTGAAAAACTAAAAAATTATCTAATATACTGAATTTAATGAGAAAATTTTTTTTATATTGAATTTGTTTTTTCAATTTTTTATACTCTAAATTTTCAAAAAATGATGACTGTAAACAACAAAATTTCAGGTTTCCGCTAATTTTGTTACATTCAATGATATCACAAAAGTCGTTGATGCGTGACGCGGAAATTCACTAGAATTTAATGAAAATTAAGTTAGCCGATATTTAAAAATTTTATAATATTTTTAATTAAAAAATTATATAAAAAATAAATTTCATTTGTAAAAAAACTCGAATAACTTCAAGTGCAATTTTTAAAAAATATTTTTTTGTTCCAATTTAATAAATAAAAAAAAATTAAAAACGTCGGCTAACTTTAGTATTGTTAGAATTTAAATTATTTAATTTAATTGATATTAACTATTAATTAATGAATTTTGTTATTTAAATTTTAGTAACCATTGTACCTCATAAATTTAAATATAGTCTTTTCTTTAAACAAACAACGAACAGAACTAACTTTGTCAACCCTTCTCAGAAACTATAAAAATACTTGAATAAGTTACTCGACAATTGAACCTTTGTAATAACTGACAAAAGAAATGCGATAAGTTTAATTCCCTTCAAAAATTTTCTTAGTAACATACATATTCATTGTCGTTAAACATTTTAAAAAAGTTATAAATTGTTAAAAAAGAATAAGATCATAAGACCAAAAAACCGACAAACTATTTTTGTTTCATAAAAAATAAGTAATAACTTATTAAAATAATATTTAACAATTAAATAATGTTTCATATTTAATTAAAGAATAATATTTCATACTTTTTTTATTAAATAAATTAGTACAAAAAAATTTTTTTTCAATTTTCATTTGAAAAAAAATTGAAAAACTATAAGTGCAATTTAAAAAAAAAATTTTCAGTTACAATCTAATAAATTTAAAAAAATTATAAACGCCGGCTAACTTTAATATTATGCTTATTTCAGTGTCAAGTCATAACTTATAATTATAGTAATTACTAATACATTAATGTATTATAATAATAATAAAGTTAGTTAATGTTTTTAAATTTTTGTTTTTTTTTTTTTTTCTCTCATTAAATTACAACTAGAAAATATTTTTTTAAAATTGCACTTATATTTTTAAAATTTTTTTACAAATGATAATTTTTTTTTATTTTTCTGTGATATTTTTTTCAATAAAAAAAAAATTATCAAAATTTGTAGATGTTGGCTAGCTTAATTTTCATTGTATTATAAGCAAACAATACGAATAAATTTAAAAATATTAACAATAATATCAATTAAAAAAAATAAAAATTATAAGGATCTAAAGTTAATATTTTTTAAAGAATCTAAGATTTGATTTTTGAACTCATACATATATGCATTTGTGTGTAAACCAATTTCAATCTAAAAACATATTGATGAAAATTAAATTAGAAGACATCTGACAATTTTTAGGATTTTTCTTATTGAAAAACTTAAAGAAATAAAAAATTCCACATGCAGAAGATTTGAAAAACTCCAAGTGGAATTTTTAAAAGAAAATCAAAAAAATTTTAAATGTCTACTGATCTCAGTATCATAACATATTGTATCTAATCATTGTTCATCATTGAGAAATAGTTCGTTAAACGAAATTTTTTCATTTCTTTGATTCAATCTAATAGTTTTCAATATTAAATTCAAATTAATAGATAAATATTAAACAGATTTGAATAAATTTTGGATTCTAGATGACTAAAACTTACACCCTAATTAGAAATTATTTTCCTGATAGCCAGCGTTTTCTTAGAAAGTAGTTTTGACTTTCAGCAGTTACAATTAACTTAAGTTAATTATTAATTAATAAATTTGCGGTAATTTTTCACTGAATAACAGTTGTAATGACATTAAACTTAGCAGTCACTTAGCAATTTTTTAATTTTTTGTAACAAGTAGATTTTTTCATTTTTTCCAAAAAATAATTTAAAAAAAATTGCATTTTTTATTTTTTAAAATTTCTACATGTCAATTTTTTTCTACTTTTTTTTTGTCATACTTTATTTATTAAAAAAATTCTTAAAATTATCAAACATCTGCTAAATTAATTTTTATACGGTTGTAAAAGCAAATTGACGAAAATCTACGGCTGTAATTTGAATACGAGTTAATAATCAAACTTGTAGTTAAACTTCCTTTCAACTTTACTACAACTTGAGTGGAATACTTGCACAGCAATGATACTGAAGGTAACTGACAGGTGTGAATTTTTTGCCGTTCTTATGACAAATCAATTACAGTAAGAAAAATGCTCTTCACTAAAAGATGAATTTTTAGAATTTTTTTTTATTGAAAAAATTATTACAAAAAAATAAAAAAAAAATTTCATTTGTAAAAAACTTCAAAAACTGTGAGTGCAATTTTTTAAAAATATTCTTTTGTTCTAATTTAATAATAATAATAATAATAATAATTGTTAATCTTATTATTAATATTATTATTTTTTTTTCTTTTTAATTTTATCAATCACTATTATTTTTTGTTTTTGTTTGCAATTGCTAACACATCAATGCTCTACTCATTTAGCAATCTATTTATTAAATTTATAATTAATATTAATTTTTATAATAAATATATGTAGATATATTAATTACCTTTATAATTTTAATATTAATATTAATACTCTATTAAATATAAAATCACTATGCTAGCTGTAAGTCATCTTGCTATACATCAAAAATTGTTTTTTATATACTAACTGTTGTATTATTAACCCTATTAATGGCCCTTTGGCTGTTGGGTTTGTTTATTTAAATAAATAAATAAATAAATAAATTATTTAAAAAAAATTAAAAACGTCGGCTAACTTTAGTATTATCTCACTAAAAGTCTGTTTTACCACAAGCGGGTTAGTAACATTTTGACACAGTTACACACTTTAAAAAATCTAGTAACATATAGTGAGAAACAATAATCCCCAGCGCACTGCAGGTACCACAGTAAAAAGAAGTAAGTAACCTCTCAGTCGAGAAAAAGCAGCTCTAGAAATTGCGCATCAAGGTCCATGCGCATCAAGAAAAGATAATGCTCGACGTAAGTCGAGTAAGTGCACCAACAAATTCGGAAACAACAACCGAGACACCGGAGGAAACACCAGACAAGATGAAGATGGCAGATGGCTCAGCAATAATACGTCGGAACAGGCCCGGAACAAAAGCTAAGGTCAGAAACTAACCGACTATTTTCACTCAAACCTAGGTCACAACACATCCACTAGAACGGCCATTAAGACTTTTATTTAACGCTTCAATTAACACTTTCACTCTATTTGCTAGCAATTGTCAGACTGTGAGCGAATTATTTTTTTTCGTCCAGAAATCTCTTATAAAAGTCATACGTCAAACGAAAATAATTCATGGGAATTTTATAAATCGATTTATGACAGCTTGCTGGTTGCTCCATCTTCATCACACTCAAAATGACACCTACACCTTACTCATGTCAATTAAACCAATCGGCCATTTATTTTATTTATTTATTCACGTACTATAAATAATTAATACCAATGATATTATTTTGACAGGATTTTTGCCGATGGCCTGATGAACCCTTCGAGGAAATGGACAGCACGCTGGCCGTCCAGCAGTACATACAGCAAATGATCAGACGGGACCCAACAAACATAGATCTGATTTTAAGTATGCCAGAAGCACAAGACGAGGGAGTCTGGAAGTACGAGCATCTCCGGCAATTTTGCATGGAGTTAAATGGTTTGGCAGTAAGACTCCAAGAAGACTGCGATCCTCTGTCTTGTACGCAAATGACAGCTACTGAACAATGGATATTTTTATGTGCTGCTCACAAAACACCCAAAGAATGTCCTGCTATTGATTACACACGACATACTCTTGACGGAGCGGCGTGCTTGCTCAATAGCAATAAATATTTTCCAAGTCGTGTTAGTATTAAAGAATCATCAGTTGCTAAACTTGGATCTGTCTGCCGTCGTGTCTATAGAATTTTTTCGCACGCTTATTTCCATCATCTTACGATATTTGACCCGTTTGAGCACGAGACTTATCTGTGTCGAAGGTAACATTTTTATTTTTTATTTATTGTTATTACTCATCGATTTATTGATCTGTCAAACATTTAAATGTTAAACTTTAATATTTTTTTAAGGTTCACGGCTTTCGTTACTAAGTATAAACTAATGTCAAAAGATAATCTTATTGTTCCAATATTAAAAGAAGATGGTTCAACGGAAAGTGAAGCATAGAACTCAACTGTACAAAGAATCTGTCATAATTACAATTGTCAAATTTGATAAATTATTTTATTTGACTTATTGGACATTTGAAGTTTATTGACAATTTAACTCTAAATTTTTTATCTTCATATTTTTAAGCGTTCGTTTTTGTTTTACTCATTAGAATAATTCAAGGTATTACGTTTATTTTATTTTATTAGCTGAAAAAACAGTATTTTTAAATTCTTCTCATTATACTTATATCTCAATAAATTTTTAGCATTTATTATTTAATCATTAGACTACACAGTATAGTTGATAAAAAAAATCAATATAACCGAATTAATTCTAGATAATTTTTCACCAAAATAAAATGTTTATTAGTTTATTCATCAACAAAATTATCAATTAGCATTTTAGTTACATTAAAATGATTAAATAAATATGAAAAAAAAATTGAAAGTGGTAGTTCAGTACGCAAATATTAGAGATTTTCATTTAATAATTTTTCGTTAGATCTTTCTACTACTAAAAACTGTTATACTTTCAAGATGCATTTTAAAATTCATGTATAATTAATTTCAGCGGTGTGAAAATACAAATTTTTTTTTTTTCAAATAATAAATTTAGTTTTCAAGTTTTTCCACTGCCATTAAAACCGAATGCATCTAAAGTAAAAAAAATAATTGCTTGAATCCCAGTGATATCAATATGACCAAAATATTTGATTTAAGTTTATGAAGATAAAAATTTAGTATCAAGTTAAAAATAGAAGAAAAAAAAAGTAAATCTCGTAAAGACTTGTAAAGTCATAGATTTAAATTTATAATCTCAAATTTTCAAGGGTCATTTTAAAATTATGAATTACAAGTTTATTTTACATATAATGTGGATTATTAATATTATTGATGAATTAATTATTGAACAAATGCAACTAACGAAAGGCTTATAATATGTCTGACTGATGAATAAAATTAAAAGGTATGAGACTATTATAATAAATAACAAATCGTTAATACCTTTCACTTTTATAATATATATTATATATACATATTTATTAATATTAATAATTAACGGATAATTTGAGTTTAATCGTACATACTTTTTATATTCGTAAATATCTATGTGTCAGTTGCTAATTCAAAAGAAAAATAATGAATTCATGAAATGATTTTTTTTTTTTTAAGTGATACTATCAGCGATTGAGTATAATGTAACTATTAATAAACGGAATCAGTGCATTTGAGTTTAAATAAGCTTTAATATTGTTAAATACTCAAATGTTGAAATTTTATAAACGAGGAAATAATTTGTGTGAATTTGAAAAATATTATTGAAAATAATTTATTAACTAATAAAGCAACTAAAGCTAACTAATTAAAGGAATAATGATTAATTAAATTAATGAATTATAGAATAAGAGTAAGTAAACTTATATGACCTAGCTGAAAAAATAATAATAATAATAATAATAAACAAAGTGTTATAATACAAACCAAGTTATCCATCGTAGCTAAAATTGTAACGCTCTCTTATTGCGTCAGTGTAGATTTAATTATTTTTTAATTACTGTAACTTTTAATTTGACAATTGTTTTCACGCGGCACTATTCTTGATATCATTAGTTAAAATTGCGAAGCAATGTACGTGCCCAATGTTTCACTGCCGAAAAATTTCAATTTTGTTTTTTATTTCTTTTCGCGTTTTACATTTTCAAAAATTACATTCTTTGCATTCAGTGTACATAGACTGTAAATAAAAATTGCTGGCTACTGACGTTAATAATAAGAGTGAGTTGAAAACAAATGCTAAGTAAGCAGAATTATATTATAAAAACTTTATCTAGTGTAATTATTTCATTGGTATATACTCTTATTAAATAAAACAAATAAAATTTTTACGAATTTCATGAGGTTCTTATTTGAAGAACCCCAGCGGCACAAAAAAAAATTGTTTATTTTTTTGATAAGTTTCATTTAATCAAGCTAAATTATCAATCGTAAGTTTAAATTTAACTAAAGATTAACATTATTTCCTTGAGGATTATGAATTACGTAGACTACGTGACTACTATAAAAAAAAACTGGATTTTGTTGACATTTCTTCATTCTTCAATGAGACGCAAATTCACTGGGATCTTCTCAAAAATTTATTTCAATTAATACCTTCTTTGTTTGCTGCCACATTATTTTTCATTTTTAAGATAATATCTGCCCTCTATAAGGTAAAGGCTCCAAGTATTGACCAGTTTAGATAAAATGAACGTAAATACATTATTTGTAAATTTATTGCAATGAGAAAAAAAAATACTTTCATTAAGAAAATTTTCTTGATACAAGAATTTATGTTGTTAAATTGATTAAAATAATTTTTACTTAATTTAAATAAAGCTATTTTCTTGTTTATCTATTATCCAAAGATAAATATTGATGCTCCTCTTCAGAAATTAATAATAATAGAATATTTGATCGTCATCGAATTTCTTGAACCAAGAAATTGTTAATTAAGTAAAAGTATTTTTTTTTCTCAGTATGGAAGAGCTTATGAGTTGAAATGAGTGTTTGCTTTTTTTATAATTTTAACTTACAAACTATAATACTTTTGTTAATAAAATACATAATAATAAACATTTAATTGTAATAATTAGCGTTACAGTCGATTGCTCCGAATATTGACCATTACGCACTAAATATTGACCACCTATGTTTCAAATACTGACCAGTAGTATTATCCTCGCTAGACATAAATATGATTTTTATTTTTAATCTATAATAATTTCGACATTAAGTAATTTATTCACTGACATGTCCATAATTTCAGTATTGTTGTTAGTTGTTCTGTATTCTGATACAATATTGTCTTCAGTACTCATATTGAAATCAATGACCGAAGCCATACTAATATTAGGTGCATTGGATAATTTACAACACCAATTGTTGACCCGAGTGTTAATTAATTCAATTATTAACATGGTTTTTTTTATTCTGATGACTAATTTTTACAACTTTCTGACATGAGTAATAAAAATTAATAATTACGTTCTGAATGTTAAATTAAATTACTAGATTTTTCTAAATCAAGTCGTTATGCTACCTGGTCAATATTTGGTTCTTTTAACCATAATAATGAATCTATAGCAGAAATTAATTAATTTTTAGTGAATTCCAATTATTAATTAAAATTTCCATTAATAATTTTTCTTAATTTTCACATATGGAGTTTTTTTATTATATATTTTTTTTTTTTTATAATAATTTAATTGTAATAAAATTCTAAAAGATTTTTTACGTTTGCAAACTTTAATGTCATAAAATTTAATAATAATTGAAAAATAAAAAAATGCACATTCTGAAAATTTAAAAACCTATAGGTGCATTTTTTAAAATTAATAATTTTTTATTAATTTTCCATTTTTTTTAATTCTAAAAAATAAATTTATGACTGCTAGATTCACAGTCATCCTTTATTTTACTTGTGTATTTTTAGAAAATTATTTTAATTATATTAGTTTTTCTGTTGGTCCTTGCAAGAAGGCCACATAAAAATCTATTCGATCCACGGAAAAGACTAGTATAGCGCCAAAAGTGGTAACTTTGAAAACTTCACTTTTAATACCTTATTTATAATTTTCTATAAGATTTTATCGATTAAGGAGGTCCAAGTGATTATTAATACATCAACTCAAAAAGTTATAAAAATATGAAAGTTTAAACAACTTTAAATAATCCTAGAAAAAAAAACCAAACTGTTTCCGAACTGCACTCGTTGAATTAAAATTTTGAAAAACAATATAAGTCGATAATTCTTAAAAATAATTTCGGAAACAGCACCTGACATTTTTAAAGAATAATTATTTAAACTTTCATGATTTCATAAAATTTTTCAATTTTTAATTGAAATTTACAAGTTTTCTCCTTATACAATACAATACTATTATTGCCGCTAAAATCTCTTCAATGCTAGGTATGTCTTCTTTACTCAACAAGAGTTTGGTTTGTCAGTGAAATTGCACAATTTTATATGAGTAATTAAAAAAACCACAACAAAGGATTGAAGTATTGTTTATAATTCTTCAAACACATAATTTGAAACAATATTAGCTTTCCAATTGTGAAAGCGATTATTTTTATCTTTTTAATACAATGTGTTCTGGTTTATTGATTATTACATTACATTAAAGAATGTAGAAGAATAAAAAGTTGTTTATTTTTGCATTTACTCTACGTTAAAATAAAAACGCTGACTACTCTGAACAATAATAAGAGTGAATTGGGAACAAATGCTAAGCAAGCAAATATTAAAACTTTATCTAGTAAAACATATCAGTATTTACTTTTTTTTTATATACAAAAAAACTTTTATTGACAAGAAAATTATTTCTGTAAATAAGATTAGAATATCAAAAAATATACAATTGAAATTTTATTTAAATGATAAAGATAAAAAATTATTTACATAAAAAAAAATATTTAATTTACCGATCTACAAATTACTAAAAACAATGCAAGCAAATTTTCTTTTATTCTGTTAATAAAAATGATGCTGTTCACGCTTTCTTCCCCTTTTTAATAGGGCCATCATTATTTGTCTTCTTCCTTGACCTCTTTTGACCCGTCCTCAAACCCATTTCCGCAAATTCCTTCATAGCTTCCTCTGACATTCTACTTTTACTTCCTTGACTCTGAACTTCATTCAAATCTTGAAACATCCCCAGATCTCCCGGTGCTTGATACCTGTAATTCAAAAAAATATAAAATATTCTCGTTTACTTTTCAAAATTTAACAAAAATATCTTACCCAAGTTCAGAAGTGTCTAATGCAGCTTTCGATAAAAATATATTTATCTCAGGCACTAAATTTGGTTTATCTCCCTCTTTTTTGGACCTAAAAAAAAAAATAATAATCATAATCATCAGATCATATCGACAGTCTAATTAGCAAATTGTCTAACTCCATTTTAGAGAATCTTCCATTTGTACGAAAAAACAATTAGTTCAAAATTCATTATCACTTTAGAAAACTATTTAATATTTAATAGACGTATAATATTTTGGTTTGGATCATTCAAATATTTTATAATTAGACTATTACTATATCAAAATGTTAAAAAACCACCCTCTAAAAAATAATGAGTTAGACCAATTGCTAATTAGACCGTCGATATTTTCGACAAAGCTCAAAAAATACTTACTTAACATATCGAATTTTATTAATTTGATGGAGTCCAGTTTTTTCTCTTTTAAAAATTTCGACACATGTTACAGTTTTTTCAATTCCTTTGCCGGCGCCGGTCCACAAAACACAGTTATCTTCATCGAAATGTTTTAAGGCATACTTTAAAACATTTCTTATTTTGGTACCACTGTTAACTTGCATCTTTAAGTATTTTTCTGGTAATCCTCGGATTGGTTGAATTTCTTCAACAGCATCATCATCTTTTGGGTCATTTTTTATTAATTTATTCTTTTTACTCCTGGTCATCTGTAATTGCAAAATCAATAAATTGATAAATTAAAAATAACAATAATAATAGCATAGATTAGGAAAATGATTAGACAGTAGGTCAGTAGGGTCATGAGTTCATAGTCAGCATCTTATTCATCGGTTTACTATCGCCAGATACCTAAGACAAAACCATTCAAAGCACTTGTGTCTCGAAGGCGTCAATAGTACGTAGGAATATTTCCCTCAATATCTCGAGGCTTTCCGTGAATATTCACTAGAATTATCATTCATCTTATCGATCCTATTTTCATTACCCACCGCCCTACAAGTCTTTATATCTTCTATTTATAATTTTATTTTCCACCAAGAAGAAGAAAACGAAGGACTTAACTCTTACCGATAATTAAATCCCAGAATCTGAACTAAATAAATTAAATTTGAACTAAATAAAATTATAAAATGAACAATACTAAATTGGACCACGAGTAAAAAAGTGACTATTGTAAATGTAGAACAAAATAAGAAGATAAAAAAAGGCCATCAATATTTTCCAATCAGCATCGGATGGAAGACTATTATACTACGTATAGAAGTGTTCGGAGGGTTTCAATGGGGGTTGACGTAGGCAATAGGTGAATATAGTCACTGGTATGCGACATAGCAGGAATAGCACCACGGCTCTTCGACGTCATATTGCATTATTAAACGTTTCCCTCATCTCTGTGACCCTACATTCCAGCATTATGAACTAAACGTTTTTATATCCCTTAACTTAAGATGTGTCGCTCTTGTTAAGTATTTTTCTCTTTTGTTCATAACTCCAAATATAAATCAAATATTTTATTTGAATTATCTTCGCTACCTCGAGTTTTCAATTCACTTATTGTTTTTATCAAATTAAAATCTTAGAAAAATTAGCGTAAATTCTAATAATTAATAAGTCATGTCAAAACAAAATTTACAATTATGTTTTTATCTCTATAGAGATAATCTAATTTAACGCATTTACATTTCCTAATTGAGAAATCTATTTTAAAATGATTCAATCCATGAAAAGTGTATATCTATATTTTAATTAACTCAAATCATTTTGAATTGTTTCAAATTGTTTTTAATCATTTCGAATAAAATTTATTAACCAGTGCTGTTTTTGAATGAAGAAAGGTATTCCACATTCGCACGGAAAAAAGAAAAAGAGAAAAATTACATTATAAATAGTAATAAGAGTCGCTTCATATAAAAAACTAGAAAAGTTGCAGTTCGAAATAACATTTTTACAAATTCAAACTTTGAATGTTAATTTTCAGAGCGTTTAATGCAATATTTACATTTTAAAATGTAATACTTACAAAATCTGTAATAATTACAATCTGAAACTGTAATTTTTCCAGTTTTTTTTATATGAAGCGCCACGCTAGATTATATAATTTAATTTTTCTCTTTTTCTTTTTTCCGTAAGATGACAAATCACCTAACGGCTTAATATTAGCTTAAAATAAGCTATGTACAAGTAATTATTAAATACATAACACTAATAAATATTCATCATTTTACTAAAATAGGTCATGCTGAAGATCATAATAAAAACAAAAAATTTATGAGAATAAGATTTGTAGAAACCTGTTGAAAAAGGATCCGAAAATTAATGTGTTTACCGGCTTTAAGAGCCGGTCCCAGCTATTGCAGTTTCATGAATTTTTCCTAAACAAAGAAAAATATTAAACAACACTGTCTGCTACTCGATAGATTATTTAATGATTTATTTTCTAGCACAGCGTTTTTTACGAAATTTTCATTTGTTCAAAGAAAAATTTATGAATCTGCATTAGATTTGTTATTGAGAGAAAAAAATGAGACCCGTTCTTAAAATAATAATTTGGATTATTAAGATTGAAACTAATTTTTTTACAATTGATATTTAAAGATTAGAATTGTGTAATTTAAAACATAATAAAAATAAAATAGATTTCAAAGTAAAATGTAATAAACCTCTAGTTTTTATTATTGAAAATAATACAATAACACAATAATACATATTTTTCACAAGCATAAATAATATGCATCTAAAAAATTCGCCTCTTATTAATATGGAAGATTTTTTTATTGAAGAATTCATAATAATATTTAAGTTATGAATTTTATAGATTTAGAATGTTTTCAATATTTTAGACTGAGAAAAAATTTATTTTGAAAAAAAAATGAGCAATGTTGTAATAAGAAATTAATTTGTTGAAAAATTTTCAATAATTTTATTTCTTTACTAAAGAAATAAAAATTTTTCTCAAAGTAACTTTCTTGTTGAAAAAAAGTTTTCTAAATTTGGGAAAAAAACAATTTTGGATGAAAATTCCCAAGTTGTGTATCTAAAATTGTTTTTTTCCAAACTTGTTGATTGTTGATTCTGAAGTTGAGTACTATTTTTATGGTAAAAGTAGCATCTATCAATCATTTTCGATAAGGTACTTTTAAAGTTGAGAAAATTATAAAATTATGTCAATTTAAAGTTTAAAAAAACTTTTTGAAATTAATTGCTACACTGAAAAAAAAAATTAACTTGAATCAAGACGAAAAGTTCTTGAATCTTTGAATGAATGAAAAATTTCTTAATTTATAAATTTTTTTACTCAAATCAAGAAAATGAAGTTCTTTAAAATTATTTACTTGATTCAAGTTAATTTTTTTTTTTGTGTATGATATCAAATAATATTAAAATATGAATATCATTTATATTTAATACCGGAAATATCTAATAATACAGCTCACATAAATATGTTCATGTACTGGGTACTTTACCTTAATATTACTAGATGGAATACATTTAAATTTAAAGCTAATTTTAAAAAATTCCTTCAAACAACAGAATAGCTTAACTTTTATTCTTGTATACGTAGAAGTGGTAATATGAGACCTATCAATATTCAACAATATAATATCATACTACCGTTGATATAAAAAGAAAAATTACGTAATACTTTTCCGGTAAAAAAACTTGTTATTATGTCTATTCAATCAACTGAAATGAGTCGTTGTTATTTGGTTACTTACAGTTTTACATATGATTCATTAATGAAATACGTATTAGATTAATTAATCTCATGTTTATGACAGAGGTTGATATATATTACCAATAAATAATATATACTTTTTATCTATTATTGATGAAGTATTTGCATGAGAGTTTACAAGTGTATAATAAAAAAAGAATTCTTTAGAAAGTGCTTCCGCGCCATCACAGGGTTCAAAATTAATACTGTAATTAATAATACCAATGACGAAGTTCGGAATTGCGATATTTTATGTTAATAATTCTTAAACGTTCAGTAAATTACAGCGTTATTTATAATAGTTAATTTCTTAAAGTTTCACCACTTTTTCTTCTAAAATATAGGTTTAAATTATAAGTAAGAGAATTTCTAGTTGTATAATTTCCGTCATATTGAAATTAAGCGAGCTGATATGTTAAACGATTATCTTGAAAAATTACAAAAATTTTGATCTTGAGAAGAAATATTTGTAATTATTTATTAAACAATAATATTTTTGCTTTGATCACTATTTGTAATGATCTCAATATAATTGATAACTAACAATTAGATTTTTTTGTTATTTGGTTTGTATAAAATCTTAATAAAAATTTACTTTGTCATAATTTTCTTCTGAGTAATTTTGTCTCAATTTACCCTATCACTGGTCACTAACTCAACTGTTGGTTTTTAATAAAGAAATGAATAAACGAAATAAATTTCGAAAAATTTATTCCAATTCCAGTTGTCGGATACCATCTTTATTTCATCATTGTTTAAATTTTCTATTAATTATTTTTATCAGAATTATATAGTTAATAAAAACATTAAAAATCGGCTTATAAGTTTTAAGTATCTGTTACGACAAGGCCAAAATTTTCTTCCAATTTCAACAATAGTCTCTCAAAAATGATTATAAACATTTCTGTAGCTCCTATAAAGAAGCTGAGAAGTAGGTCTTTAACATTTAATTAAATTCAATAATAATTAAATGTCGAACGTTTAATAGATATATCAATGAATGCTGATAAACTAGGACTCCTCGCACATAACTGAGTTCCCGATTTCATATTCCATACTAAGTGCTGCTCCTGCTGGTGATGACAACTTCTTAATAACAATACCAAAAGCATCTTCACCTTCACCATCAACTAAACATCCAATTTACTCAAGTGCTCCTTGTAATCGTTGGCCAATATTTTCCATGAATAAATTTTTTGTAATCTCCCCACGGTTTTTTCATTTCCCATTACATGCTCAATTATTTTTCAGTCCGTGTCCTAAAAATAATATTAAACTTTAATAGAAAAAATATTTCTAAAGAATGGAGTTATTCTTGATAAATGATCTGGAATTCCTCGGTAAATAGTAGGGGTGCTATGATGATACATATACCTACGATACGGATAGGGTTTGATGTCTTGACTCTTGATTTTCACCCCCCAAAGAACGCGTGCGCGCAAGCAAGGACGACTAAATTTTAATATTATTTTACCATTGTCCTTTGGTCTTCTTTAGTCAGAGTCTTGAGTCAGTTCTCTTGGTGTGAGCTTCTAAGCACAGACTTGTCTGCTTTACCTTTTATTTTTTGAGCTTTCTTTTGTGTCGTAAGCAACAGGTACGGCTTCTTATTGAGTTTTAATTAATTATAAGTTCTTCACACACCAGTGTACTTTATTCTGGCAAAATATTCTCTATTTCTTGGCATTGCCATTAAGTGAATGTGATTGTTATTCAAAATACTTGTTAATAATTTACCAAATTAATCCAAACAAATCCAACGATACTTAACTTACTTAAATTATATTTTTAGGAAAAATAATAGATATCCAAAAATGGATATCAATGAATTTAGAATCCGCGGTAAAGAAATGGTGGAGTACATTTGTGATTTTATGAACAATATCCATACTCGTCGTGTGACTCCTGATGTTGGTCCGGGTTATTTACGTCCTCTGTTGCCGTCAGAAGCACCGTATGATGGAGAGCCATGGGCAGATATCATGAGAGACGTAGAGAGTAAAATAATGCCTGGAGTAAGTTATCAAACCAGTAATTTATTTATTTATTCATTAATTTATATTTGCACTAAAAAATAATATTTTCACTTACCTAGATCACTCACTGGCAACATCCTCGATTTCACGCTTACTTTCCAGCTGGCAATTCATTTCCTTCAATTTTAGGTGACATGTTGTCAGACGCTATTGGTTGTATTGGTTTTTCTTGGGTAAAATATCATTTTATTCCACTGCATCAATTCAAATCCATCAAATTGACGGACATATTAATCTTTATTTGTTTTTCTCTAGGCGGCAAGTCCAGCTTGTACAGAATTAGAAACGATAGTTTGTGATTGGTTTGGTAAATATCATTTTCTTCTTTTATTATTTTTGTTCATTGATAACTTATCTATTAAATAAATAATTTCAGGTAAAGCGATGCATCTTCCAAATGATTTTTTGTATTTTAGTCCTGGTAGTAGAGGTGGTGGAGTAATTCAGGTAAGAAATTTTAATAAATTCTTTGAATCTGGTCCTTAGACTTTTGTTATCATTAAATTTTTTATTTTTTATTAATAAATTTAAACTTTTAAGGAGTTATTCTACTTTGGACCTTACAAGATTATTTCCCGTTTTTTTGACTAAAATTTTGTTATTTTTCCACAAAAGTTAACACTTGTGCTATGGAATATAGCCATTTGACATAATAAACATAAAACCATTTAACGTTTTTGTTTCACATTGACCATTGTTCAGATTTTTTCAACAGCGCGGACCTATTTATTTTCTAAAGACTCCTGTTTAACTGTACACAGAAAAAAAGGTTCACTTGAGCCAAGAAAATATTTTTCTTCCTAATTATTTTCTTGAACGAAAAAAAAAATTTTTTTTTTGACACAAGAAATTTCACTTACTTTAACAAAATTAATTCTCTTTCTTTAAAAAATACGTATCTTGATCCAAGAAAATTTATTTAAGTCAAGAAAATCTTCTTGTTTTGAGAAAATTTAGCCTCTTGCTCTAAAAAATTTAGTTCTTGATAGAAGTAAATTTTCTTCTTGAGAAAATTTTCTCTCTTGCTCCAAAAAAGTAAATATCTCGATAGAAGTAAATTTTCATTAATATTTTTATTGATTAATATGTCAAATGGGAAGATCAAAAAATATTGAATCATTTTTTTTTTTTTTTCACTTACTTTAACAAAATTAATTCTCTTTCTTTAAAAAATACGTATCTTGATCCAAGAAAATTTATTTAAGTCAAGAAAATCTTCTTGTTTTGAGAAAATTTAGCCTCTTGCTCTAAAAAATTTAGTTCTTGATAGAAGTAAATTTTCTTCTTGAGAAAATTTTCTCTCTTGCTCCAAAAAAGTAAATATCTCGATAGAAGTAAATTTTCATTAATATTTTTATTGATTAATATGTCAAATGGGAAGATCAAATAATATTGAATCATTTTTTTTTTTTTTTTTTTCATTAAATATGTATAATGGCACGCTAAAATAATATAAAATGGGTATCAAATATTCAAGAGAAAAATTTTCTCACCTTGAGATTTTCTCAGCTGAAGTAGGTAGCGTTGCTTCCCTAAAGTATCTAAAAATCTTTATCAAATATAAAAATTTATTATATCAAGTATTTATGATAATTTGAATTAAGAAAAAATTACTTCCACCAAGAATAGAATTTCAACAAGAATTTTTACTTCGACCAACACAATTTCGGTCTTCCTTCAGGCACCCGAAAATTTCCTTGAGCCAAGAATTTTGTTCTCCAGTCAAGAAATTTTTCTTTCTGTGTAGCTTTTGTAATTAAAAAGTGTTTAAAATAAAAAAAAAATTTTGTTGTAGTTAATGAGTGTTTTATTAAGCTAAACAAGTTAGACATCAATAAACATGAAGTATTCTAAAAAAAAAAAAAAAAATTAATAGAAATAGCATTTTTTTTAGGCGTTCAAAGTAGAATAACTTTAAAACAACTTACTTACTGAATTTTACTTCAGTTCTCTTTTTACATCTTAATAACAGCCGTAAATTTCTAATCTCAAAAATTCACTAATTTTATTTCTTTAGGGATCTGCATCAGAAAGCGTTTTAGTCTGCATGTTAGCAGCAAGAGCTCAAGCAATAGCCCGTCTTAAAGAGTCTCCAGCTCACGCTCACCTCGACGAAACAGCTCTTTTAGGGAAATTGATGGCCTACTGCAGTCGCGAGTCTCACAGCTGCGTTGAAAAAGACGCGATGATTTGTTTTGTTAAATTAAGGATCCTTGAGCCGGATGAGAAAAGTGTAATGCGCGGTGAAATTCTCAAACAAGCCATTGAAGCTGATGTTGCTGAAGGATTTGTCCCTTTTTTTGTATCTACGACACTAGGTACTACTGCTTGTTGCTCCTTTGATAATCTCAAAGAAATCGGACCAGTTTGTCGTCAATACCCTGGGGTAGATAAAATGATTAATTTTTTCATTTTTGTTATTATGATCTATAATAATTAATAAAATATAAATGTATTTATTTAACAGATTTGGCTGCACACAGACGCTGCTTATGCAGGAAACGCGTTTATTTGTCCAGAATTGAGATATCTAATGACGGGCATCGAGTATGCAGATTCAATAAATACAAATACCAACAAATTTTTATTAACTAATTTCGATTGCTCATGTCTGTGGGTGAGAGATCGGTTTAAATTAACAAGCGCACTTGTTGTTGATCCACTGTATCTTCAACATACTCATGCGGACACTGCTATTGATTATAGGTTAGTATTTTTTTCTTCTTTATGCTCAGGAATATAATTATTAATAATATTTATTTATAGACACTGGAGTATCCCATTAAGTCGAAGATTTAGATCACTGAAACTATGGTTTGTTCTAAGAAATTACGGAATAAGTGGTTTACAAAATTACATACGTAATCATTGTAAACTAGCTAAACAGTTTGAACAATTGATACGCAAGGATGATCGTTTTGAAGTCTGCAATGAAGTTGTGGTGATTAAAATATGATTATAATAACTGATTTATAAAAATAATTTATTAATTATTAAACTTTTTTAGTTAGGACTGGTGTGTTTCCGAGCTAAAGGTTCTGATAAGTTAAACCAGAAACTTTTGAGCGTAATCAATGATTCAGGAAAAATTCATATGGTACCAGCTAAAGTTAATCAGAAATATACGATTCGTTTTGCTTTGGCTGCACCTAATGCAACATCTGAAGATGTTGGTAGGTTTAATTATTAATTTATACATGTTAAGTAATATAGATAATAATTATTTTTTAATTTATTTTATTTATTTATGAATAACCGCGAAACAAATAACAATAAGCTTGAAGACAATGAGAATAAAATTATTTAAGATTGTTTGCAAAAATAGCAATTTTTTGAACTTTTAATTGAAATATTAATTTTTGATATTTTCGATATCATCACCATAAATCCGCCGTAAAAACAAAGAATTAAAAAAAAAATTATGATGGTCCATCAATTCATTTATTTTTCATGGCCAGAAATAAGGTGGACCCCACTTGTAAATAATTACCAAAAATAAATTATAGAAGAGCTTTAAATTCTTCAAACATTATTCTTAAAGCAACAAGATTCGAAGGCAATTGATTCCACAATTTGATTGCAGTTAGTATAAACGAACGCTCTAGAGCAACTATTCTACATACACTAGAAGAGAAATAATTTATTTTGATATAAATGACCAATGCTGTAATACCTAAGAGATTAATTTATTGAATATTTTTAACAATTTTACTTCTTAGTTGAAAAAATAAAAATTTTTCTCACATTAATTTTTTTATTGAAAAAAAGTTTTTTAAATTTGGAAAAAAATAGTTGAGGATGAAAATTTCCAAGTTGTTAATTTAAAATTGTTTTTTTTTTTTTTTTTTTCAAATAAAAAAAAATTTGTTAAAAACTTTCAACAAATTAATTAAAAAAAAATTTTTTTTCTCTCAATGTATAGGTTGGTTTTCTGACGTATAGCTCGATCTCTAACAGATAATAGTACCTAAATATTGAATAATAATAATAAGTTATCAATAAATACTTGAAATTTGGGGAAATAAAGTATTTTAGTTTTTATCAGCAGTGCTAAAAATGTATCTCCGTTTTTCTTGAAAATAACTTTAATTCCTCTACAGACGATTTTAAAACTATTTTTCTATACTTAACAGAACACGCATGGAGTGTGATAACGGATTACTTGTCAGAAATTTTGGAAGGCAAAGAAATTGTGGACAAACTCGCAGACATCCGAGAAAAAAAGCGCAAAGCAACTTTGGAGCAGCGAAGATCATTTTTTGTTCGCATGGTCTCTGATCCAGCGATTCAGCCAGGGTTTACTAAAACGCCCAACAGACCTGAAGCTAAATTGGAAACTCAAGCAACCATTGGTGGACTTGGTTCTAATCCTCGTACTACGTAAGAATTTTTATAATTATACAACTAAATAAATAATAAATTTACTTACATAAATAATAAAATTAACTTGTGATTTAAATGACTAGAAGTTCGTGGATTTCATGGCCACTGGCTTATTTAATGTCCCGTGAATCAACGGACACGAGTGAATTGTCTTTGAGGTAAATATCTATCAATTTATTTATGAAAATCAGAATTAAAATATTAAATAATTTTTTATTATAAATTGAGAGTAATTATTAATGATTAATTACAGATTTCGTCATTTGGATACGATGGTTCGTCTGAAAACGGGAGCAGGAAGCCGACGCGGTAGCAGTAACGGCTGTAGCCCAGAACCATCTCCAACAGTGTCACCTTCACGAGGAAGATCACCAAATGGACGAACGTAATTCACCTGATAATAAAATTATAGATAATTGATTGATAAATTATTAATAAAATATAACGTCGGTGTTATCATCTTGGAGGGCGGCTTTAAATGTTGGTTTAAGCTATTAACTGAAAGGGTAATTGTCAATGTAAATGATACGATCGATAAACTGCCTCCAAGTAATGTCATAACATTACTCGAAAGATGAAAGTAATTAATTATAATCATAATTATTATATTATTTATTTATAAATTAATATTGTTATTGTTTTAATTAATTTTTAAATATTTATTGATTCGAATTCCTGTCATTGAGTATATATAATAAACGAATTAAAAGTAACATATGTTTGTTATTATATATAATAAATTGATTTTATTATTAGGGATGGAAATGAACATCGAGTGGTCGAGCGGAAGACGAGTCAACCGTGAAGTGTCGTGATATAAAACTACTCACAAAATTGTTATGTATGGGCTATAAAATATTGCATCCATATATTTATATACTTCATGTAATATACATATATGTATATATAGACTCGGATAGGTGTATAAATATATATATATATATATATA